AAACTCAATGGTAGAATTATAAAACTCCGTCATTTATAACTGAAATCATGTTGGTTTTAGAAATGTTCTTTATAAACTTGAATGAGAGAACCAAATATATTTATGATACATTGTTACTTTACTTTCTGTTTTATGTTTTATCTTAGAACTTGTATAAAAGTCTGAGTGAAGTGAAGTCGGAAGTGGAAATGGTGATAAAAACAGGACGTCAGATTGTACAGAAGAAACAGACGGAAAATCCCAAAGAGCTTGATGAAAGAATTACAGCTTTGAAATTGCATTATAATGAATTGGGTGCAAAGGTGGGTGCCTGTTGAGACCACAAACACTGGCCACTTTCCACATTCCATTTTCTTTTTCAATTGTATAGCAAAGGGCAGTAATTATGTATATTTCAAGTCTCAGATATTCATATATTCTCTCTCTTTATATGTGCATGCATACATGTGCACATACCCATGTGCAAATACTAATTAATAAACTAATTATTTGATGAGGGAGCTCTGATAGCCTAGTGGCTAAGGCACTTGGCTGCTAACTAGAAGGCTGGCGGTCCAAACCCACCAGCCACTCCTCAGAAGGAAGATGGGGCAATTTACTTCTGTAGTGATAGTGCCTCGGAAACCCAAGGAGGGGTCGCTATGAGTTGGGTCCGACTCAACGGCACATAACAACAACAATTTTTTGATGATGTTCTTCCCAGTAGTGCTTCAAAAAATATATATATAATGTTCTTGGAAGTTGCTATTGGTCTGTCAAATATTTCTAAAGAAATTCTTTTTTCTAAATTTTTTCCATTTTCTGTTTTATAAATTTATTTGTGGTGCCTTGAAGGCTGATAAATTTCTAAACTACTGTGCCTAACCCTATTTAGCCTAGCTCCAATGGAGTTGACACTTCCCAGTGAGATTGTTTTCTTGTATGGTGAAGCACCGCATAATCCACGTTTGACGAGTTAGAGTGTGGATAGTCAGTTATAGTCTTTGGCTCTGTGGTTATTTTGGGGTTGTTGCCCTGATCGGTCTCAGGACCAGTTCCATCTTTCTGTCAGTTAAAGATGTTTAAAGAGGCTGGTGGTTCAAACCCACCAGCCACTCCTCGGAAGGAAGGTTGGGCAATCCTACTTCCGTAGTGATAACTGCCTTGGAAACCCAAGGAGGGGTCGCTAGGAGTCGGGGCCGACTAGATGGCAAATAACAACAACAACAACAAAGATTTTTGTATCTCTTCTTTCTAATAAAACTTTGGGATGTTTAGGATATTCATCTTGCATCCCTCCAATAAAAGATTCTGAATAGATTCTGAGTTTTGATGGTCAATATCATGATATTGGAGCCATGGTTGCACAGTGGTGAAGCACTCAACTGCTAACCAAAATGTCGTGATTGGCCCACCAGTCACTCCCCCGGAGAAATATGTAGCAGTCTGTATCCATAGCAATTGCAGACTTGGAAACCCTATGAGGCTGTTATACTCTGTCCCATAGGGTAGGTATGAGTCAGAATTGACTTGACAGCTATGGATTTGTTTTTTGGGGTGTCATGACTCTAATCATGAAAAGGAAATGCCAGCATAAATAATTAACCCATCCTTAACATAGTGCCTAAGGCATTTGACTGCTAAATAGAAGTCTGGAGGTTCAAACCCACCAGCCACTCCTCGAAAGGAAGTTTGGGCAATCTACTTCTGTAGTGATATTGCCTGGGAAACCCAAGGAGGGGTCGGTCGCTATGAGTCAGGTTTGACTCAACAGCAATGAGAAGCATCTTCTTTTTATGTGTGTGTGGTTAGTTAAGATTTAAAATATAAAAAAAGTAATACATTAAGCATTTGAGTTAAACATTTACCTGAAGTAGATACACTCCTTGGAGAGAACAAGCTTTTATCTGAGAAGATATAGATATAGATATGTTGTTGTTATTTGCCGTCGAGTCGGCCCCAACTCATAGCGACCCCTCCTTGGGTTTCCGAGGCAGTATCACTATGGAAGTAGGATTGCCCAACCTTCCTTCCAAGGAGTGGCTGGTGGGTTTGAACCGCCAGCCTTCTGGTTAGCAGTCAAGTGCCTTAGCCACTATGCTACCAGAGCTCCCAGATATAGATATAGATATATAGATATAGATATATTCTATTAGTAATTATATAATAAGTTTGCTTCCTTAAATTTATACAAATAAAGTGATATGTTTATTATGGGTATACATAAACATTTCTCAATAGGTAAAAATTTAAGTTATCTTAAGTTCTTTAAGTGAGCTTCTTTAGAGGAAGAATTAGTTTTGGATGGGGTTTACCTTTCAGGTTTTTAGTGTAGAAGATTAAATTAGTTGTGAACAAATTTCTAGTCTAACACATAAAATTTAAAATGCTTAATGACACCATTTTAATTTCATTCTGAGATTGACTGAGTTCATAGGTTAGGGGAGATATAGCTCAGGGTACCAACTTCATTGAGCAGAATGACACCGACAAGAAAATTTTACCTCGTCTTAGATCAAATGCAAATGTTTGTTGATATTTGTTATGCAGCCACACAGAGATAGATTTCTAATATTTCACCCTGAAAATAGGTTGATGTTCATTTCTTGAAATTGATAGTTCCAAATTGCTTACCAATGAGAGAAAAAACGAATTTTATATTCAGCTGGGCATCTGAAAACATCCCGTCTTATAAGTTGATAAACTTTTTTTTTTTTTTCATATTACAAAAACCTGTTTTTTAGATTTAGCCTGTTTTGAAAGAGAGTTTAATCATCCTATGATAAAAGGTTCATATAATTTAGGACAAAAAGTAACACTGATACCAAATTAACAGCAAAGTGCGATGATCATCTTGAAATAAAATACAGCATTATATAAAATGCTGCAATGTATTAAATTCTGAAAACATTTTCTTTATTCTCAAAAGTTTATTTGATGTAAATAACTTATACACTAAGTTAATGTGTTGATAAGTACATTTTTATTAAGAGAAATGTGTATTTTAAAAAAAGAGAGTTTTATAAAATTACTTTCATTTAAATATAATTTATTGCCTGGGGCTTTCCTTTTCTCTAATGATTTGAACAGCATCTTTGTTTTTAAAAGGATAAATTTAACATAAAATAACATAGAATAAAAAACAATAAAAGTGGTATTAGAAGACTATTAGCATCCTAAGTTTATTATTATTAGGAATTGAATGAGTCTTGTAAAGATTTCAAACCATATTTATCCCTGAAAATATACATTTGAGAATTTATATTTACTTTAACCATTTTTTCACTCAGCAATATCATTAAAGAAAAGAAAAAGGACTACAAAAACTAATATTTAACTTTCATAGCTTAATGGAATATAGCAAAAACTTAGAGCAGAAATGTATTTTCTGAGTAAAGATTCATTTATAAACATTCATGATGAAGGGAAGAGGTATAAATATCATCTTAGAAAACTGCTTTGGGTCATGTATTCATCTTCCATCACTGAAAAAATTGTCTGATTTTGACCTTTAAAACATCTTCAACAAGAGTGTTTAATAAACCCTAAAAGAGCAAAGGATATTTTATGATGCTTTCACATTTAAAAAGAATAAACTCTACTATTTAAATCAACTTCATAATTTGTATTGTTGTACTTGCCTCAGATCAGTAAGTTATTTTCTGCTACAGAACATATATTTGTTAGTTATTTTAATATCAACAACTTAGCTTAATTGTTTAATGACTAAAGAAATTTTTTAATATCTAAATTTAAATTTATTGAGAAATAATATTATAGTTACCACCCTATAATCCCTTCTTGGGCTTTGCATTTTAATAGAAATACCTATAAATAGCAATACTCCGATTAGCCTGAAAATACATTTTAATTGTTTATGAAACAATGACTGCTGAAACATTCTACTGCAGGTAGCACTCTTTTAAATGTATCCTTTCTCCATGTATACAAACATACACAGAAAAATGAGTGTAAAAATATTTCCTTAAGATGGCAGTGTGTCCTGTTTTTATTTTTTAAAAAAAACTTCTAAGTGGATAAAAACAAAACAAAATAAATAAAAATCAATAATGCATTAGCTCTGGGAAGATAGAATTTCTCTGAAATATTGAGTCTAGAATCGTTTTTCTATGAATAGCGCATAAAAAATAACTATGCATAGCAACGCACAGTAAAGTAATCCCCCTCCCCTGCACACACATACATACAAATCCTTGCAGTTGAAGGGCAGCTGCTTTTATTTCCCTGATGGAGAAATAGAAGGAAA